GTTCTTGCATTGAGGAGGTAAAAGACACATTTTGCCAATGGAACAAGACAATTTACATTTAAAATAAGAAAATATAATTGCATTGTCTTATTTCAAGTGCATATTATCTAATTATCTTATTTTAAGAGTAAAAATACTCATTCCATTGTCAAAATGTCTAATTTACCTACTCAAATTAAGGGTAAATACACTTAATTTAAGACATTTTAACATTTTTCGAGATAATCTTTCCAGTGCAATGGCATAAAAACTGTACATTTAAAATAAGAAAAAACAATTGCATTGTCCTATTTTAAGTGAATATTATCTAATCTTATTTTAAGAGTAAAAATCTTTATTCTATTGGCAGATCATGTTATTTACCTACTAAAATTAAGGGCAGATACACTTCATTTAACATTTTTTTTACTAATTTCTAGATTTTTTTTTTACAGTACAAATGGTTTTGTGGTGTGTCGATCATCTCACTGCAAAAACAATCAGAAATAAGTGAAAATATCTTAAATCAAGTGTATTTACCCTCGATTTGAATAAGGTAAATAAGACGATTTGCCAATAGAATGAGTATTCTTACTCTTAAAATAAGATAATTTGACACTATGCATTTGGAATAAGACAATGCAATTTTTTTTTTCTCATTTAAAATGTAAATTGTCTTGTTCCATTGGCAAACTGTCTCACTTACCTCCTCAGTTCAAGAGAAAATTCACTTATTTTTAGGAAGAAACTTATTTAGATTTCATTTTTTGCAGGGGATTTCAGGAAGTTCCTGTGACTATTTTACAAAGAATTAAGTGTGCTTGAACATAATAACAAAATAAAAACAATTTAAGGAAAATGCTACACAAACAGACTCTGTGCATGACCTACTTATTGGCTTGAGCTTGTAAGAATTGCTAGGAAGAGACCAGGAAACTGGGCTAATAGCCAATGTTGGACTGAGATTCTCTCTTCTGAAGTATGTCTCCTCCTGTAATAAAGAAATGTCAACCTTTTATCTGTTCAGTGGATATTGACTAATATTAACTTTCATTGATTACGCATATGGATGATTTATGCACCTATGGTTTAACATTGCTGGTAGGCTGCCTTTAATCTTCTCAACAGGAAGCAAACACACCATGAGCCACGTCTGGCCTTGGATGAAAGGGCCATGTGGGCAGTGCTTGCTAACCTGGCTCTGATGGCTCTACTCACGCTGTTATTGGACCTTTCCCCACAAAGAAAGCCGTTTGGCCGCATCCTGCACAAACCATTTCTTTCTGCTCATTTAACCCACTTTGTCTTCTTTTCAACTGGTTTTGTCGTTGTAAGTTCTGATGCTTGCTCTTTAGATCTTAATGTCCGCAAATCATGACAGAAAAAACATTTTAGTACAAAGATTAAAGTTAAAAAAAGAATTGTGGGGGACCATCCAAGGGCCCATCAAGGAAAGTGGGGAAATTTTGAAAGGCTACTACATAATGCTGTTATTTGCAACCATTTTTCCCCCTTTGGATGACCACAAACTCACAAAGTTTAGGAAGAGCGAGTGGATGTGGGGAAAAAACTCTTAGCCAATTAGAGCCAGAAAACATCTGCTGCTGGGTTTGAACTGTTAAACAGGAGCGTTTAATAATAATTTCACACTAGAAACAGATAACGAAATTTCACATGTGATCCTTCTACTACGGATAATTTAATCCTCTCTGCCCTTCTTTATAGATATGATCACTGTATGAGAAAGTCAATTTAAGTAACTCCAGGAACCACATCTGTAAAAAACCAAGAATGAGCACATGATACTAAGAAGTAGTCCAGTAAGCAGAAAAACATCCTCCTTGTGGCGGGACATTCCTGTCCCCCTCGCATCTGCTTAATCTATATGTGGCAAGGAAAAACTATACGGGGGGAAAAAGTAGAGGAAAGCTGCTTCTTATTGTCACACACAACAAGAAAACCCAAAATCATTTTCTTCTCTTCCCCATAAGAATAAATTACACAATCAGATTAAGAAACCTGCGCCTGGTCAAAATATTTCATGAATCAAAGGAGCCAGTTGACGGTTGTTGCTCGCTCTCTGCACCCTGTGGCTTTAAGTTCCAAGAATTACACAACTGCTCGGTGTCTGGTGAATAGAGGGTTTGTCAATGTAATGCAGAGTATAGAGGGAGGGTTCAGTTCATAAATGCCAAGGGAGAAAATATGTGACCCAGTTGGATAGAAATAACTCTTTGCTACCATGCTGCAGCCTGCATGGCCAAACTTTTAGCTGGAAGGGAGTTTTTTTTTTATTTTATGCATAGTAGATCAACCTAGACACAACAGGCAGTCATTCATTTCAGTCCACAGAGCCTTCTCAAGGCAGCTTTGAAGACAAACAGGTCCAGTTACACTGTTAAAACAACCTAGAACTATAAAAATGTCTTAAATTAAGTGTATTTACCCTTCATTTGCATCGGTAATTGAGATAATTTGCCAATGGAATGAGTATTTTGTCTCTTCAAATCAGATAATTAGATAATATGCACTTGAATTAAGACAATAAAATTGTGTTTTTCTTATTCTAAATGTAAATTGTCTTGTTCCATTAGCAGAGTGACTCACTTGTCTCCTCAGTTCAACAAAAAATGCACTTATTTTAAGAAAAAATGACTTATTTAGATTGACATTTGTTCCAGCGTATAAAGGAATCCAACTCAATCCGATGTAATGATAACAATCTAGTTGGTCCAAATTCAACAGCCATCAATGGATCAGTTCAAATGTTGGGTTGATTCTCAGAACCAAACAGGCGTGAAAGAATCAGGCCATATAAACAGAGGAGTGCTCTGCAAAAATGATCTAAAAATTAGTAAAATGCCTTAAGTGTATTTACCTTAAAATAAGATACTTCTCTTGAAATAAGATAATTAGATAATATGCACTTGTAATAAGAGCATATATAAGAGTTTTTATTTTTATTTTGAATGCAAATTGTTTAGTTACATTGCACTGGAAAAAAAATCGAAATCTAGATAAGCCAATTTTTCTTAAATAAAGTGATTTGTTCTTGAATTGAGGAGGTGAGACTTTTTGCCAATGGAACAAGACAATTCACTTTTAAAAAAAGAAAAACACAATTGCATTGTCTTATTTCAAGTGCAGATTATCTAAATATCTTATTTTAAGAGTAAAAATACTCATCATTCCATTGGAAAGCTATCTCCTTTACCTACTCAAATAAAGGGTAAATACACTTAATTTAAGAGATTTTTACTTATTTCTAGATCGTTCTTGCAGTGTGGCAAAGTGTCTCACCTCTTCAATAAATAAAAAAAGTTCTTGTTTTGAGAAACAAAAAAACTTATTGACATAAAAAAAATGCAGTGTGTTTCATACAACCATGAACAACAATCTCCTAATTTCTGCTACATCAGGGACTGAAACCAGAAAAAAAAATTAGTTTATTTTAGACCCTTGTTTTTTTTTTTATTTTTTTTAGAAAATCTACATCACTTTTCTCTGTGAATGTATATCTCTTGAAAAAAATGAATCGTTTTCATGACATTTTTTTTTAGCTTGGACATTAAGGAGAGTAATCTGTTGCTGTTACCTCTAAAGCCGGGAATACACTGCGACATTTTCAATAATTGAAAGCAGCTACAACTCAAACTGTACAACGAAACCGCAGGGTTTGAACTTGTGTTGTATCGATACCGATACCAGTATGGGGCGGGGCCCGATCCAGAACTAAAATGCTGTTATCTGTATCAGTGAGTACAAACAAATAGGGCAGCGATACCATTTTGAGAACTAAAAGTTTATCCAACTATTGTCACCCATTCCAGGTAGGCAATAAAATGTTCTACTGGATTCACTTTGTTTTAGTCTTTTTCCTGCTTCACAAAGGAAGGCAGCAGCTTGACAAAGTGATGATGCACTGGAAAAATTCAAAATCTAGATAAGTCATTTTTTCTTAGAATAAGTGCATTTGTTTTGGGAATAAGGAGGTAAAATATATACATTTTGCCAATGGAACAAGACAATTTACACTTAAAATAAGAAAACAAAGTTTCATTGTCTTATTTTAAGTGCGTATTATCTAATGATCTTATTTTAAGAATAAAAATACTCATTCCATTGGCAAACTATCTCATATACCTACTTAAATTAAGGGTAAATACACTTAATTTAAGAATTTTATACTTATTTCTAGATCGTTTTTCCAGTGTGGCAATTATTTTACATCCAGGTAGACTGCAGTTCTTCATATATACACACACATCAACTTCAAACAGATGGTATCAGTATGGTATCGGTATCGGCCGATACTGCACAGCCAGGTATCGGGTATCAGGGCCAAAAAATGGCATCTAGTTTAAAACACTAGTTTAAAAGTTCCCAGCTCACGATGTATGTTCTCACACTGTGCGGCCCGACACTCTGATGTGATCTACCCGCTTACACTGTACGTCCAAAAACCGCACATCAAACTCAGCGCAAGGAAGATGGCGCTGGTCAGACTCGTCAATCTGGAAGAAGAACTCCATTGTTTGCACATGCGCAGTGCTCAAGGTTCTGGTCTTCAACAGCAGGATTTGTCCATAAACACCTTACGACGACCGACTGAATTTCAAATATTTTTAATTTTCTCCCGACCTTAAGATTCCTGATGGGGAGGTGGTCATGAGAGGCGGATCGCCCATCGTTACCCCCTGTTCACTACATGACACACCATCAGGCTGAAAGTTGGCCCGATCGAAAAAATAATCGCACGACTGGAGAATCGGCCCGGCTTAAAAGAGCCACTGACTTCATTGGAATAAAGAATTGATGAAATTAGTACATTTCACAGCTTGTTTCATGACAGTGATTTATATGCGTTCATCTCTCAGGACGACCCAATCATGTTATCCATGGCTCTGAAGTATAAACTGAAGGCTTGCAGATTTAGTTTGAGTGTTTTGATCAGAAATGGTCCGATTTAGATAAATGTTCATATAAAAGAAGAACAAATTTAAAGTTGGTCAAATACTCACCATAGATAAAAGACAATCAGGGAGTGCTTCCGCATCTTAGGGGTCCGAATGAGGTCAACAAAGGAGTGCTTCTTCTTCAGTACAGTTTTCTCTTCAGTCTGTTGAACCTGATAAGAGGGAAGGATGGTAAAACTCTCAGAGGACGGCTGGGACGTGCAGTTTGCATGTTTAAATGGAAGCCTGTTATCAAAAGCCTTTATTCAAAGTGAGAATGGATGCCACCATGTTGGAAGGTTTCTGGTATGATTACCTAGGTGACAGAGTGGGATCCATCCTAAGAAAAATAGCAGACTGGCTGCTGATTCATGTCACCTTTTCCAATGTTTCTACCAATACAAAGCTAATCTCACTGAATTTTTAACACAAATCCCTACAGAGGGTCTTCACTAAGCCTGTCTTTAAATTATTTAAATCTAAATAATTCATATTTTTCTGAAAATAAGTGTACTTTTTTCTTAAATTAAGGAGGAAAATGAGAAACTGCCAATGGAACAAGACGATTTACATTTACACACTGGAAAAAAATCTAAATCTAGATAAGGCATTTTTTTTTTTTAAAACAAGTGCATTTGTTCTTGAATTGAGGAGGTAAAAGAAACATTTTGCCAATGGAACAAGATGATTTACATTTAAAATAAGAAAACACAATTGCATTGTCTTATTTCAAGTGCATATTATCTGATTATTTTATTTTAAGAGTAAAAATACTCATTCCATTGGCAGATGATTTCATTGACCTACTCAAATTAATAGTAAATACACTTAATTTAAGACATTTTTGCTCATTTCTAGATTGTTTTTGCAGTGCATGAAGAAGAAACAATTGCATTGTCTTATTTCAAGTGTATATTATCTAATTATCAAACAAGAAAAGGGACAAGGGAGGGAGAAAATGTGGAACAAATAATGCATGTCTATTCTATTAACATTTCTCTATCTGTATAAAAGGTCTGTTTTATGTGTTGTCTTCTCCATTCAGAGGGCCCCCTACCTGTCTTTGCCTAGGGCCCCAAGTTTCCTAAATCCGCCCCTGGTGACAGGAAGCCTCAGCTTTCAGACCCTGATCTGTCGCTCCGCTGCAGATTGAGATAATATTCCTCACCTACACCTCCAGGCAGAACACCACGGCTCCAATAAATCAAAGTTAATATTTGGGAGTTTGACGCGGCTGCTTTAAAGAAAAGTGTTGACATGATTTACAGAAAGCTTATTTATCAAAGCAGTGAGAGTTCTGATGACATCATGTCATCTATGTGCGTGTGCAGATTGGACTCTTGTTTTTGTTTGATTAAAATCCTGATCTATCAGAATTTAAAGGGAAAAGGTCATTTTTGCAAAGAAGGAAGCTGGAGATCACGTGTGTGAAGGTCTGCTTAGTCGCCACTCTGGAATATCGTCTTACCAAATCTGAAACCACATGAGGAAGGAGCTCTTCCTCCTTGGAATAAAAACATCTCTAAATGTGCTTTTTCTAATATTATTGAAAAACAACCTTTTTTCACTTCCTTCTTTAGTAATCAACAGTGACCCGGAGACCTACTTTCTTTTTGTCCTTCTGATGATGTCCCTGTGAACTATAGTGTTATAAACATTGTCTTACCAAAGTATTTGCAACCCCCGAACCTCTTCTCATTTTTTCATGTCAATCCATATAACAGCTTTTTTGGTAACTTTCAGGGTTCTTGTCGACTTTTCTTATAACTAACAGTAATTCCAGTTAAAATAACCCAACATAATAAATTGTTTCTATTCCATAAACCTGTACATTGGAGTTAAAACTGTGCAGATGCCAACAGCTTCTGACTTAATATTACACCTCAAGTTTTGACAGACACACATATATGTTTATAGTGAGATTTCACCAGCGTAAAATGAAATGTGTGTCTTTTATTAGAGGGATAAATTACAAAACCCACATTCCTACCTGACATATCTCCAGGTCTTTACTGATTGGCTTCCCATTCATCTCTGCTGCCTTCAGGATCAGTTCCCACGCTTCCGCGTTCCTGTCGTTGGCCATCAACCAGCGTGCCGATTTTGGCAAGACCCTGAGCATAATTATATCAGTCAGCTTTATTGGCTGTTAATGTGTGCACTATCAACTAATCTGCCTTTAGTTTGCAGATCTCACATTGCAGAGTAGCTAGGTATAAACATATCAACTGTAGAGGAGATAAATATAGGAAAAAAGGGGAAACAGTATGTATTTGTTTTATTGTAATGTGTAAAAGAGAAGAAAAAAAGGAGTTTCTGATAGTGCAAATATGCTTATTAAACAGCAGAGTAGAGCGGCTGCTCAGGCTGTGGGGGAAAAAGTAATAAGTAAACAGTTCCTAAATTAAGTGTATTTACCCTTAATTACCCTTAATAATAGTTAAATGAGAGTTTGCCAATAGAATGAGAATTTTTACTCTTAAAATAAGATAATTAGATAATACGCACTTGAGATAAGACAATGTAATTGTTTTTTCTTATTTTAAATGTAAATTATTTTGTTCCATTGGCAAATGTCTGACTTGACACCTCAATTCAAGATAAAAAGCACTTATTTTAAGAAAGAAATGACTTATCGAGATTTTGATTTTTTTTCCAGTGTGTCTGCTGGTTCCTGCAAAAAGCGCTTTGAAGCTCTGAACTGGAAATAAAAGTGCATCTTGGTGCAGGATGTGTGGGGTCTGCAGAGGAAGCAAACAGGTCCTCACTGCAGATCTTGGTTTCCTGAACCATGAGGACCAGGTCAGCACTGGAGAGAGGACGCTTCCTGGAAAACCGGAGCTAATCCCCAGTCGATAGAGTGATACTTAGATTGGCGGAGGGAAGAGGTGAGGCCAACATCATCTCTATGGAGTGAATGTTTTTCCAATATTGTTCAAAGAAAAGGAAACCCTGAGATAACTGACTTAAATAAAAAAAAGGAACACATTTATAAATGCAATCCAGCAATTGCACTTTGAAAATGTTTTTCATTAAAGAAGGGCTTTGAGTTCTCTTATTTATTTCAGATTTCTTTTTTTCTAGATTATATATTTTCATATTTTATTTTACCAAATTGTCTTTTGTAGATTTGGTTTTACAAATTGCATTCTCTTGATTTGGTTCACCGTTCTTATTTATGAAGAGCGAGTGTTTGTTATTGGCTTGCAGTGAGGAGAACGATCAGTAAAGCTGTTTGAAAAGAATGCAATTTGGGAAACTTAATCTAAAAAAAAATAATAATAATTAAAAAAAGAAAATATAAAATCTTAAACAATATCTGAAAAATGCAGTTTGTACATTTTTATTTTTAAAATAAGTGAAAGAAGTTTTTAATTAAATAAATCGGAGAAAACTAAAGCATTTGTTTTTGTTGGATTTCCATTTACAAAACATCTGTTTTGCAACATGGAATACAATTCACGCCATACTTCTCCAATATTGTGCAGGTTGGCTAAAAATTGACATTTTTACATTTTTTGCTGTGTTTTAATGCCATACTTCATCCAAACCATACACCAATTAGTTTTGCTTAATTTGTGCATCTCTGAGTGATCCCTGTCGGATCAGCAGCCCCTCCCGTCATGAAAATGAGCAGCAGAGAATATTACGTAAAGGAGCGCCCCCTCCAGGTAGCAACTGCCTCAACTGAACTTTACCAGCTAGTTTAAACCAATCCCCCCTTTCTTCCAGTTAAGAGGAAGTTTTTCCTCTCTACTGTCGCTACAAGCATGCTTAGTGTGAGGGATTGTATTTGAGTCAATGGGTCGATGCATTTAACTAGTTTTCCTTAGATAGAGAACTTTGAATCAATCTGAATGATCTGGTGAACTGGAAAGTGCCTTGAGATGACATGTGTTGTGATTTGGGGCTTTAGAAATAAACTGAAGCAGAACTCAGTGATTCTAATGGCTTTTTAGCTGCTAATGCTGCAACTTTCCCTTTTTTAGCTAATGTCTGAGTCGTAAAAACCTTTTTTTCTGGCCTCTAGAGAAAAAGGTGCTTTGAAGGCAGGTGTTTTTCTTTGCCGTTGGACGAAAATGTTAACATTTCGTAACCATATAACACCCACATGGTGCTAAAGGCATTATTGATGGCTTCAGAAGGCGGGAAACGGGACCTGCAAAAGTCCTTCAGGGCATTTTCTGTTGTTACATCACTTCACACATTCAAAGGAATGTTGCCCTTGCACTTTGTTTCTCCTCTCTTGTACTTTACCGGTGTGAAATGCAAATGAGAATCATAAATAACTTGCATGTCAAGAGGCATTGCAAGGCAACCTCATAGAAGGTCAGCACATTTCCTCTGGTCCGAGGAACGCCTTGCAGACAGAGAATAAATCCGCATAATTCATGAGCAGGAAAAAAGGCAGACAAACATATATATGAATGAATTCTTACTTTAACCCTTAAAAAAACTCCCAGATTCCGTTTTTATTTCTGTATCTGGTGCAGACGGCAGCCCACTCACCAAATGTAGATGATGAAGATGAAGCCAGGTGCAGATATAGCCAGCTGCAGCTTACGCCAGTCTCTTATGAGGTACGCGAGTCCAGCCAGTATGATGTATCCAAAGCCGAAGAAGTAGTCTGTGATTATACCAGCCAGCATGCGCTGTTTGGGGCCTGTCCATTCAGTACCTGAGGGGTAAGCAGTCATGAGCGCACAGTAGAACAATATGGAGCGAAATTTGTTCCTTTATTGTTGCAAGCCAATAACACGTTTTGTAAATGGAAATTTGGGGGAAAAATATTCAAGAAAGAAAACTTTCGCAAATAAAAAGAAAAAAAGGTTTTTGTAGACAATTTTTTCTTTTTATTTCTTTTTTCTTTTTTTACAGATTGATATTTTCAACCTTTCATTTTCCTCTTTTCAGATTATGTTTTTCACTGGAAAAGAGATGTAGAAATAGGTAGATATTTCTCAAATGAAGCGTATTTACCCTTCTTCGAATACACTGGAAAAAATCTAAATCTAGATAAGTCATTTTTTTTTCTTTAACTAAGTGCATTTGTTCTTGAATTGAGGAGATAAAAGAGACATTTTAAGAGTAAAAAATCTTTAAAAAATTGAAGACATTTTGACTTATTTCTTGATCATTTTGACAGTGCAGGTAAATCAAAATCAAGTGTATTTACCCTTAATTAGAGTACGTAAATGTGATAGTTTGCCAATGGAATGAGTATTTTTACTGTTAAAATAAGATAATTAGATAAAATGCACTTGAAATAAGACAATGTAATTGTGTTTTCTCATTTTAAATGTAAATCCTCTGTTCTATTGGAAAGATGTCTTTTTTTTTACCTCCTAAATCTAAGAAAAAAAGCACTTATTTTAAGAAAAAAAGACTTATCCAGATTTAGATTTTTTCCAGTGTAGAAATGCATCTACGCTCTTCACTCAGGATATGATCGGGAAAATAAAAACTGGAAGAATGCAACTAGTAAAACCCAATCGGAAAAAGTAAAGTTACAAAAATAAAGTATAAGAATATCAAATCTGTATATACAAAAGAAAATCTGAAAAAATAAAGCATGAAAACCCCCCCAAATTTTGCTCTAAATCTTTTTCTTTCATTGAAATCATACAATGAAAGGTTCTTAATTTGAAATGTTTCACCATTGAATAACATTTCTGTGGACGTCAGCATTTAAATCTGTATAAAAGCATATTTTGATATAAAGAGAACGAACTGTGCTTGAGGCTTATCTCTGCTCATATAAACAGCTGTCTGAAAGCTGACTGTGCCTTATTCTATCTGTAATTATCAAGGATAAGAAATGCTGTAGCCCTATGAAATCTTATCGTGCCTTCACTATACAGGCCTCTCCAATTATTTGCTTTCTTTAAAGAAAACCTTGACTTTAAAAAGCTGTTACAAAAATGTAACTTTGCTGATTTTATTTCTATTCTTCCTCTTAAATGTGCCCCTCAACAATTATGTCATCTATAGGAATTGCTTTTAGACTGAATCAAATATTCATGCAGCTGTTGTATGTTCTCACTGCAAAGTCAAGAAAATAACTTTTTTTCAGTGGTTTTATTTATCAGTGCTGTCCTGAATCCCGATCAGAACTTTACCCTGATACAGTTCTATACACGCATGGCTCCTCCCACAATCCTAAAACATGCACTCACTGTTAAAACGATCTAGAAATAAGTGAAAATGTCTTAAATGAAGTGTATTTAGCCTTAATTTGATTAGGTAAATAAGATGATATGCCAATGGAATGAGGATTTTTACTCTTTAAATAAGGTAATTAGATAATATACACTTGAAATAAGACAATGAATTTTTTATTTTCTTATTTTAAATGTAAATAGTCTTGTTTCATTGGCAAAGTGTCTCTCTTACCTCCTCAATTCAAGAAAAAATGCACTTATTTTAAGAAAAAATGAATGATTTAGATTTTTTTATTTTGCACTGGATGAATGGGCCGGTGGAGGAAGGTTTCTGCAGGCCACTGACCTAAAACGAAGGCGTTCATGATGACGCCGGAGATGGACATTCCGACCATGAAGCGAAGAGCGATGTAGATGTAGAAATGGGGAGCAAAGGCGGCAGCTACACCGAAGATTGCTTGGATAGCCAGGCTGACCAGGATGATAATCCGGCGTCCGTATCTGACAAACACAAGAAAAACACAAGGGATGACCTGCCTGGTTCACAACTAGTCAATACACTGGAAAAAAACTGAATAAGTACAAATGTCCTAAATTAAGTGTATTTACCATTAATTTGAGTAGGTACATGAGATAGTTTGCGTATTTTTACTCTTAAAATAAGATAATTAGATAATATGCACTTTAAATAAGACAATGTAATTGTGTTTTCTTATTTTAAGTGTAAATTGTCTTGTTCCATTGGCAAAATGTCTCTTTTGTCTCCTCAATCCAAGAACAAATGCACATTTTTAAAGAAAAAACTACTTATCTAGATTTAGATTTCTAATGCAGTCGATCTTAACTTACTTATCAGCCAAGTGACCAAACACAAGAGCTCCAACGAGGAGTCCGGACATGTAGATGGACGAGCCCAGATTGTTGAGGCCGGCGTTGGAACAGACCAGGTCCCACTGGAAGAAAAGAAGGACAGCTGTGGGTGAACCATCTGCTCTCTTTTTGCAGTGAACTGGCTGCCTGCAGAGAAAAACAGCCGTCAGGTTTCCAGGCCTCAGGTTGTTGCCTCTGATGGGTAAGGAGCAGAACCTCCAGAGGATGCAGAGATCCTGATTCCCTGTGACTGACTGACGCCTTCACCAGCTGTGGATCTGTTTACACACAGCTCAATGAATGTGATGAGCTGGTACGTGGGTCCAACGCGCTCCGGTCATGTAACTGCCCAACCCTCACCTTCACGTGCGAGGAAGTGACCCTACCAGGGCATGCGGGGGAAGAGTCAAGGATGGCTGCACTGCATGTGTCCATCTCATCCCCTCGCTCAGGCTCAGATATCACAGAGCCCACTGTAATAAGACTTCTCAGCCCCTTCCACATTTCACTGCTACATGGGCTCGTTATTTTGAACTCATTAAGGGAAACTGCTTTGAATGCTTTGACTCACCTCAGTTACTATGGTGCTCTGGAATGTTTCCCTGCTGTACTCCCAGCCGTCCTGACAGCTCGCGGCCGGCTGCCCGTCTCCAGGAGCTGCAGAGCCGCTGAGGTTCAGGGCCGTGGAGCAGGACAGCTCAGGAAGGCCTCCTGGGCTGCTCAGGTGACTGAAGTTTGCAGGGGTGGACGCTGAGGGCCAAGCAGAGCGGCACAGATGAGGAGGAACGGCCCCGGTGAACACTGACACCAGCATGTGGAACGCCAAGAAGATCTGAGGTAGACAGATCCACACGTACAGCAGCTTCTGGAACTTCCCAAAGCCTCCAATTTTACTCAGGATCTCATCGAAATTCATTGTTCTAGTCAGCTGTAGATGTAACACTTTAAATGAGCTTTAGTTTGGAACCAAACTAGTCTGACAAGAGATGAACCCAGGGGGATACTTTCAGAGCAGATAAATAGGCCGGAGCAGGCAGATGATTAACAGGAGGAGGGAGACGCTGTCGCACCTGTGCTGAGCTCTGAGAGCGACCTGAAGCCGTGCAGCGTGGGACTGTGTGCGGCTGCTCTGACCTCAGAGTGATGGGGGGGTGAGCTTAAAGCAGGAGGGAGGCGTCTGCAGCACGGGGGAGGAGCAGAGGGACGATGCTATCCTTTCATCTCTCCTCCCCTCCTGAAAAAGTTTCATAAGATGAAATTAAGTAACTCATTTTGAGATGAAACCAAAAGTTTGTGGCAGACGTGTATCATCAGGGGGAGGAGTCAGCAGAGACGAAGGAAAAGCTTTTCTGTTTGGATTATGAAAAAGAAAAAAAGGGAAGAAGCCTCATTACACTGCAAAAACAATGTAGAAATAAGTCAACGTTTCTCAAATGAAGTGTATTTACCCTTCATTTGAGTAGGTAAATAAGATGAATTACCAAAGGAATGAGATTTCTTGCTCTTAAAATAAGATAATTAGATAATATGTAGTTGAAATAAGACTATGCAATTGTTTTTTCTTATTTTAAATATAAATTGTCTTGTCCCGTTGGCAAAATGTTTCTTTTACCTCCTCAATTCAACAAGAAAAAATGCACTTACATTAAGAAAAAATGACTTATCTAGATTTTGATCTTTTTCAGTGTACTCACACCTTAGAGATTCCTGTCATATTATGTTCTTCTGTCACTATTGAGCGCTGCGTGGGTGGAGGCAGTGGCACAAAGGCAGCCAACAGATCGCAGGGAAAGATTTAGGCCACTCTTTACTTTCCGTTCCCATCTTTAGGGATCAGTGGGCTGCTGGAAACCTGAGAGCTCCGGCGTTCATGGATCAGGGCTGCTTTAAGTTTGGATGTTTGAATGAATGTGTGGCGGCATGAAATACAAGAAAGAGTGCCACCTGCTGCAAAGCTTGTGTCCAACTGATAAAATCTCCCTATATGACATCATCCTAAAACAGAAAAGTCGGTTTTGTGCTGCAGCTTTTAGTTTATGGTGCCTCTTTGATAAGTGATGAGTCCTTTTGGTTTAAAAGCTAAAAATCTATGAAGGATTTTCCTAAAAATAATCACCCAGCGACCCTCTACACTGGAAAAAAATCACAATCTGGATAAGTCATTTTCTCTTAGAAGACAATTTACATTTAAAATAAAAAAAACACAATTGCATTGTCTTATTTCAAGTGCATGTCATCATATTTTAAGAGTAAAACTACTTATTCCATCCCATTTAACTACTCAAATCAAGGGTTAATACACTTAATTTAAGACAATTTTACTTATTTGTAGATCGTTTTTTTCAGTGTGAGCAGATGAGGGAGACCCTGGCGTCTCTTCAGCAGATGGAAACAGCTGCTTTCACTACTTGCACGGCAAAAACAATCTAGAAGTAAGTAAAATATTGTTAAATTATATGTATTAATCCTTACTTTGTAGGTAAATGACATAATTTGCCAATGGAAAGAATATTTTTACTCTTAAAACAAGATATTTAGATAAAATGCACTTAATACACTGCAAAAAATGTAAATCTAAATAAGTCATTTTTTCTTAAAATAAGTGCATTTTATCTTGATTTGAGGAGATAAATGAGACACTTTGCCAATGGAACAAGAGAATTTACATTTGAAATAAGAAAAATCAATTGCATTCTCTTATTTCAAGTGCATATTATCAAATTAAGGCTCAAATTAAGGGTAAATACACTTGATTTAAGAAATTTTTACTTAATTTCAGATTGTTTTTGCAGTGTATATAAGACAATGCAATTTTTTTTTATTCTAAATGTAAATTGTCTTGTTCCATTGGCAAAGTGTCTCACTTTCATCCTCAATACAAGACAAAATGTACTTATTTTTAATGAAATATTACTTATTTAGATTTCAATGTTTTGCATTGTGAATGATTTCCTGGACTTCTACTCACATAACCCAAAAAAGTTTTCACATGGGTGTTTTTGGACTGAAACAAAACCAAATAAAAAAACTCTTGAAATGTTTCCAGCATTTTCCAGCTTTCATAAGTCACTGTAGGGTTCTCACGTAACCTGCTCAACTTCCCATTCATTCACCAACACAATGGCATCCAGAGGCTTCCCTGTTGCTCACAGGGCTCATTCAGCCTCGGGTGGAAGTCACTTGGTATCATCAGGGCAAACCCCGCCTCCAACAGGGGGCCTTTAAGTAACCATCACACGTTACACAAGTCTAAGTGCTCACGTGTGTCTGTGGTGATCGGATAACAAAAGCTTAAACAACTAAAGTTACTATAGAAAACAAACAAATATTTAGAAATGTTTGCTCATTTATCCTGTTTTAAGAGTTTTTTTCTGTGTCCAAATTAAAATTAAATCTTAATTCATGAATCCTTTTCCACTGGATTAATAGTGCTGCATGTGTGGATTATTTCTCCTTCTTTGAAGCTTAATTTACTCGGATTTAGTATTTTTATCTTGTTTTTAGACACAAATTTTTTGCAGGTTTTCGCAGCAGATAACACACACTTGAAAAACAATCTATAAATAAGTAAATATTACTCAAATTAAGTGTATTTTCCCTCAATTTGAGTAGGTAAATGAGAAAGTTTGCCAATGGAATGAGTATTTTTACGCTTAAAACAAGATATTTAGATAAAATACACTTGAAATAACACAATGCAATTGTGTTTTCTTATTCTAAATATAAATAGGCTTTGTTTCATTGGCAAAATGTCTCCTTTACCTTCTCAATTCAAGAACAAATGCATTTATTTTAAGAAAAAATGACTTATCCAGATTTAGATTTTTTCCAGTGCATTCCTCACACTGAAAAAATGATCTAGAAATAAGTAAACATTTCTTAAATTAAGTGTATTCACCCTTAATTTGAGTAGGTAAATGAGATAGTTTGCCAATGAAATGAGTAATTTTACTCTTAAAGTAAGACAATCAGATAATATACACTTAAAATTAGACAATGGAATTGTGTTTTCTTATTTTAAGTGTAAATTTTCTTGTTCCATTGACAAAATGTCTCTTTAACATCCTCAATTCAAGAACAAAGGCACTTATTTTAAGAAAAAAATCACTTATCTAGATTTAGATTTTTTGCAGTGCAGAAACACTTGTTGCACTTTTTACTTTTTATCATCTTATAACCTCAGACCAGCAACGTCGGCAAAATATTTACATTTGCACAAACGAAAGCATGAGAAGTATAGAAAAACAATACAATTATGAAATCTATTTCCTCCACACAGCAGTAACTGAACTAATAGTGAGTTTTCTTCCTTGAAATAAGTGCATTAACTGTTTTATTAAGCAAAGTAAGCAAACCATCGCTGGAATAAGATCATTTATGTTTAGAAAATGAAAGAAAACATCTTATTTGAAGTATATAATATCTAATTATCTTACATTTTTTAAAGACATTTACTTATTTTTATATTATTGTAATATAAAATGCTATATTGCTGCAAATAAAGTTCTGTTTTATTGAGCAGAATGGAACAAAAATGATGAATTTATGCCGTAAACACCTTCATAGTTCAGATATCAGTGAATGAAGCTGTTTCGCTTCCTCCTCCCAGCCTCTCTCCTTACTCACACGCTCTCTGGCTGCTCGGCTGCAGGCGGAGCGACATGCCAAGTGTGCCAATGAACCTTGGCTTTAATTACTTAACATCATCATGTGAAGAACTGCAGGGGGAGATAGAGGCTTTTTTAAACACATACTGCTCTAGGCTCAGGTTTTGTAAGGCTCTTAGTCTGTGATGCAAACTAGAGTTTCTTTCAGTTTATATTCAAATGAGCTGAGTGAGAGGAGGTAATCACTAAGTTACAGCTGATAGTTGGTCTGTTTGCTCTGGAACAAGCAGACAAGCTTTTAGGAAGAGGAGTTTAAGACTTTAGGCAATTAGACTTCTTGAAATAAAAATCTCCAAGAGCCCAAAGAACATTTTGTTCTTCTTTTCGTTTCTTCTTCTTAGAAGAAGAAATTTTACAGCAGAGAACTTATGAATGAGTTTTCTACACCTTCTTGTGACTCAAACGCTGCTGGAATGATTAGTCTGACCAAACAAATGAGTGTCATGGATGGCCCTTTAATACGTACACGTGCAGTCCGTGAGTGGATGGGTGCGATCCAACAGGCTCAGATGACCATGATGTGACCAAATCCCTACACCGATGAGATGAATCAGCAAAAAGCTGTGATGGAACTTCATACCACCATAAAACAAGCGTGCTAAGGTTCTACGGTCTCTTTTCCACGGGGTGTTAACCCTATAATGCCAAATGTATCATATTTGATACATACGGTTTCTGAAATGTTTGCGTCTGACACCTTTTGCATAATTTAATGGTAAATCCTATTGTACACAATCAGATATACCTGATAACAGAGGGCAGAAGACTACACAAAAAATAATCTTGACTTATCGCATAGTAATAAATTATTCATATCAAAAATGTATTTCTGTTTTTTCTTTTTACATGTTTTGTTAAAAGGGTAAATAAGGACTTCAAACCAAAAAAAAGTAATTTTCTGTTTTGTTTTATTCTTGGATCGGGCTTTAAAGGGTTAAGGCTGATTTGTACTCAGAAACCAGATCATCTGCTTGTGTGTCTTGTGTGAATGGAGACACTCTGCTTCACCTCTCCAAAATTGTAGGTGACCGCAGACAGTGCCGCTAACAGGAGGCCTCTGATTGGTCAAATCTACATCGGCTCTACACGATGTGTATTTCCTGTTCGGTACCTTACCGGCTTGTTTTGTTTGTATGACCGCCATTGTGGAAAACGACTCGTGAAGTTGGACCAGCTAAAAGAGCGAGGTGAGAACGTTGGGACCCCCATTTTCCACCTGCTCCCGCTCTTTTTCACCCTCATGTCCCTCCGTTGTCGCACAAACTCGTCCCCACTTCCTCACCGCCTCGGCCGTACCTAGCCGTATCTTGTGGCATGGCATAACACGCTTCAATATTGGGCATAAATCAAAAATATCTGCGACAAGCTCACTGCGACACTCTGCTGAGGGAGGATAACCAGGCCTTAAGTCTAATGCGACCACATGGTCGGGGCGGCCATTTTCTATGTTT